TTTTTTTTTTTTTTTTTTTTTTTTTTTTTTCTCGTGGCCTCGGGCTTTTCACAACCTTACGCTGCAAATATCGTATTTCTCCTAATGGCAGGAGCGGGCAGGTGGCACCAGCCCCAGCACGGTGCCGCGGGGCTGCCCCAGAGCAGAGGGTCACTGGTGGCAACGCGGAGATCTGCCTGCCAGGGTGGCTGGTCCCGAAGGGCCGGGGCTGCGCTCACTGCACCCGGCTGGGGCCCTGGCAGGGGATCCCCCCACTGACCCTCCAGTGTATTTCATGCGAGGTCTCGCTAAAAGCATCAAACATCAACAAGCAAAACTCGTCTCTCATGGCAAACGGATGCCCGGCTGCCCCGGAGCCCAGTGAGGCGTCTCCCACCAGCCCCCGGGCAGCTGCGGGTTTTCTCTCCTCCGTCCCTGGCAGCTCCCTAACGCTGAAGTGAATCTGTGGCCTGACCCCCACCAAAAACCTCCGCGCCTGAACAGCCAGGCCTCACAAACCCCATTTAAATGGGAACGCTGACCTCTAGCTGGGTATGAGCTTCCATCCACCGCAACGCCCCAATTAAACAGGCTATCGGCCCCGCGTCAGCCTTGGGGCATCACAGGGCGCAGCAGAGGGTGCTGGGGCTGCGGGTGGTGCCCCCCGGGCCAAAGCAGCCACCAGCGCCCGTCTGCACCCACCCAGGCCTGGGCTGCAACAGGGGCTCACCCCTGCGGGTCAAAGTCAGGGGGAAGGGTGGGATCCAGCAGCCCAGGACCACCGGCACAACACCGGAGCGGAGCCTCGCCCCGCAGCCGGGAGGGGACGAGCTGCACGACCGCGCGTCACCCACAAGAGATACGTGAACACGAGGCTGCCTTCCCAAAGCCCCAGCACCTTAAAGACCACTGGAAAGCCTCCGACTGCCGAGGTCCTACTGGTCCGGCTACTTGAACACTCACCTCCTGCTCCGGTGATTTAAAACAATGCCCGGCGCACGCAGGAGACATCGACTCAACTCGGCAGTGCCGGGCTCACGCGGCTCCCGGGGGACTCGAGGCAGCTCTTAGCCCAGTGCTTGGCACTTGCAGGAGTCTCATCCAAGCACCCAAGAGCTTTAAATTGAGAGACATTTGGGTTCTGTCTGATGTGTGAAAGAAGGGGGGGGGGATAGGGAGATGAAGAGAGAAATCACTCAACTCCAGGGAAAAGGCTTGGATTGAGATCCAGCTATTTCAACTCCTACTTTTCTGCCCACAGCCATCTCCCCTTAAAGGGATGAAATTATGGAAGCCTTTGCATTTTAGAGCTCTTAAGGACATTATTTAAAAAAAAAAAAAAAAAAATCCCAAACATGCTGCAGGCTTGAAAGCCGTAATTCAGGTGCCATGAAATATTTGGAGCAGACATTTGCTTGGAGCACACTCGCTTCTGGCCTGCATGCTCCGCGTTACAGCTCTGCATCACCAGCAGCTGACGCTCGCCAGGCGCTTCATCTTCCCCCAGGTCACGTCTTTCTTACACTCGTACCAGTCGATTCCTGCCCGGCTCTACCGAGCTGCTCACGATTCTCATGCCTGCAAACACAGGCAGGGAGCTTCCCCGCATGGCCGAGCTCTGCAGTGCATCAGAACAACACCCAGCTGCTGCAGCTCGGGCGCAGCCCGCACGCAGAGCTGCGGCCGCAGGTACCCGTGCCCGCCGCGGGCAGCGTCGCCCCGTAGCTGGCAGCACCCCAGGAGAGAGCCCCAGGAAAGCAGCCAGCTCCTCGCTTAAACATCTACTCCTGCAGCACTGCAAGTGTCAAATCCTGCACCTTGCTGTGCCACTTCGGGCCTTACGTGAACTCGCTGCTGCCAGAGGGAACGCGGAGGCCGGGAGGGCGACGGGGAGACGCGCCAGAGGCAGGGACGGACCCCCTCGGGCGGGAGGGCGCTGCGGTCAGTGGGTCAGAATTACTCTGTAGGTCGGGCTTACGCCTCCCTGGCATCACAGTTCTGCCACAGCACAAAGAGCGATCCACAACCCCCCCGGGAGGGCAGGACCTCGCCACGGCCGTGGGGAAACTGCCCCCAGTTCCCGCTGCCCAGCCCCACACGGAGCCCACCTCGCCCCGGGGATGCCCCGGCCACCGCAGACACGGGTGACAACCAGCATTTGACCCAGGCAAAGGGTAAAAAGATACCGAGGACCCACGTCCCCAGAGGCCACCAGGCTCCTTCAACCCCAGGGCATCACATCACCTGCCCAGCGCCGCCTCCGCACCCGCACGGGAGCGCATCCAGAAATAGTCTGTCTCCAGTGACATTTTCTCGCTTCCTCTCTTCCCCCCAAGGTATTTCTCACGGTTGGGCTCAAAAATGAAAGGAGAAAAAAAACACAAAAACCCACGAAACTCCTCCTTTCAGAGCAGGCACAGCCAAATCAGAACTGATCAGCCAAAATTAAGAAACAAAGGCCTGGGGGAGGACGCCTCCTCGGTGCCATCTGCACCAGACAAAATTAACATTTCCCAGGGGCCTCTGCCAGAACCAGGAGCCCCTCGCCCTGCCCAGCCGCACTCCCCACCCGGGGGGGCAGCCCCAGCCCCAGCGGAGATGCCAGGGACGGGGGGGCCGCACCGCTGGGGCAGCCGGCCGCATTAACAGATAATTCATAAAACCAAATTCTCCTGGAGCGCCGGGCACTCACAGCTCCTCGGAGCACAACCCCGGCCCTGGAGCCCCCCGAGCAGCTCGCAGGGGGAGCAGCGCCCGCCTTTCGGCCGGCTCCATCGCACCCCCTAAGCAAAGGGGGGAGAAAGCAGGGGGAGCGCGCGGCTGCGCCGACAGCAGCGGGCTCTGACCGCTGCCCAGCGTCGGAGCTGAACGAGCACAAACTGCATCCTCTGTGCAGAAGGAAACGGGGTAAATCTGCACGGCCCCGGCTCAGCTCTCCCGTCACCTAAGGGGGGACCACGGGGCTCAAACTGCCCCCGACATCACCTCTGCGGCCGCAGCGAGACCCCCAAACCTGGGGTGTCTGAAGGTCCGTGCAACCC